CTCCTAAGGCTGGCCCTCATTGTATTTGTTTTCCGGGCTGGACAATTATAATTCACGTTCTCCGGGCTGAGCCCATTCAATTTAGTCAGCAGCTGAAGCTTGAAGTCTCAGGCATCACCGATTAGGTGTCGCTACCGAGGACGAAACCAGGAAGCACCTTGCAAGATCGAGGCCGGAGCCCGCGAATACCGCCGGCCGTGGGGATTGGATCTTTTCCCGACGGAAATCCGTGACGGGGATCCTTGGAGAGAATCCTTGACTGAAACCCTTGCCCGGGGCCCCAACGGAAACCCCGAAGGGATCCCTGAAGGCGCCCTCCTTTGGGAATCGTGACGGAACACCGTCCGAAAATCCTGTCGGGAGTTCCAAGGCCCGCCCTTCTGCTTCCCCAGGGGTCTGAAGGATTCGCTGGCTCATTGGGAAAATTGCAGCGTCCCGGAAGCCCGACGATGCTTGCGCTGAGCATTAATTCCAGAGTCTCCGCGCACGTCGAAACGGTCGAGAACTCCTTAGTGTCCGATGCTCGAAGCTAGAAAGAAGGCTCCGAGATCGATGATGAGCTTCGATTGGATTTTCGTCAGGCAAACTTTCGTTCATCCAAGTGGGCATCCGTTACGCGGAGATGGCCGATGTCGAGGTTGAATGAGAAGTCTTCGCCATCCGAGAAGACTCCCCGCCCTGAGGTCCGCCAGGGTCGCGCTCCGCGACTGCGGAGGGATATTCGAGGGCGTGCTCAAAGACTCAGAGGGCCAGATCCAATCGGATCGATGCGATTGAAGCGATAACATCGGGTTACACTTATACTCACGCTCATGCTCTGTGGCATCGAGCACAGAGAGACGCTCCCTCGCATCCTGGCTTGATGGGATCATTGACGTCGAGCTAGACCCTCAGATTGATGACCCCCGTCAGTTTTGCGTGAAAAAGGAGATCCGTTCCGATTCCTCTGAATTGCTCGATGTTCGGAGCTGGTGCCGGTCCTCCCGTGATAGTATCCCTATCTCGCTATTCCGCTGCTCACGGTACAAAGAAAAGAGAAGCAGTCGAACAATGTTTAAGTCTGCGTTAGCCAGCAAGATGGTCGTCGTCTGGCCGGCCGGCCGGCCGGCCAGTCAGTCGTCGGACGCCAATCGAACGAGCGAACGTTCTAAAGAACCCACCGACGGTTAGAATGGCGAAAGCGATTTCTTCGTTGTGCCGCAGTGCGAGCGGCGGACGAGGCGGACTACGCAAAGCAAAACCGGAAGTCTTTTTTGGTTAAAAACTAAAACAACTACCAAGACTTCACTGGAACAAATTTTTGTCATTTTACGTCGGGAGATTCGTCGCGTGCGCGGTAGAGGCATCGGCTTCCCCGTTACCTTAGATTCCGACCGTCCGATTCCGCGCAGCTTAATTCGTTAGTTTCACTCAACCCGCTCCCGAACACACATCGAATGAGAAAGAATTGCGTAGGAATATATACAAATGAGGTAAGCGTCGCGTCGTGCGAAGGCAAGCTAGTGTCCGTGTGTTAGCGGACCACAGGTTTTGACCAGACTTTTTCGACTCTGAGAAACAGGGCACTTTCTTTCCCGTGACTTACGCAGTCGGATGAATGCGTACGCTGCAAGCGTAGAGATTCAGATTCGCACGGTGGCGAAAATTGAAGGGACCCGGCTTTCTCTCGTTTGGGAAGGACCAGCCAGAATCATCACAAAAGGAAACTGAGGCATCCGCTCAGAACTTGGTTCTCGCAGAGGACTCCCGACTATCCTAATAAAAAAAAAACACAAGTCCGAATCGGATCAGAATCGGAGGAGGTATCTCGACCCATCACGACTCGATTCTGCGCATATCCAACGACCACCGCGGATGGGAGGGACCGAAAGGACCGCTATACCGTCCTCTGGGAGTTGTGAGCATGGTCCGCTCTTATCCTCAGCGATGGAATCAGATTCCTTCTACATGAAGATGTCGAGTTGCCGCAGAGAATCGCCTCTCGTACGTGACAATTCTTCCAGTCGTCGCTCCGGAATGGAGCCAAATAATCATTTTCCGAAATGTTGTCGCTCACACTAGTCGCATCGAATTTCTCTTCCTTCATGGGTAGTTCTTCTTTCCATTCTGGATCACTCATCCATTCATGTACGTCTCCAGCCCGATTGTACACGAAGAATAGTCGCCGATTGCAGGGACACCAAAAGTACATATTCTATCGGAATCGTCGTCCCAATCGTGCGGCGGCGGCGGCGGCGACGTCGACGACGGCACATCCTTCATGGAGCGATGCCAACGCCTACACGATCGAGGAAAACCGGATTCGCAAGCGATTTTGCCGATTCCGTTACCAGGAGGATTCCGTTATGCTCAGAAACGACGCTGGCCCGAAGGCCAGAGCGAAATTCCGCAAAGCGAGGAGGGTATGGAAATTTCGAAGACGAATTCACCCCGTCCGCTGCCCCCTGTGCATTTTCAGATGGTGATGCTCATCGGTTTCGGGGCTTAAATGAGATGCATCCGTTGGTCGTCCGGAATGTTTTTCGCAATCATTTGGAACATCACATAAACCAGAATGGCGGAGCCCTTGGATTTCTATTGTGGATTGCTCATTGAGCCGCAAGACAGAAGAGAAACGCAGACCTTCTTAGTTTTTCCACGCGAACTTGAAGGTTATTTGAAATCATGCGAGAGAAATTCACTGACGCTGCTGGCATGAACGGCCTTGGTCGCAGGCGGCCACAATGACTTGTGATAGCGGTGGCAGATCATGTCTGACACCAGACTAGCGGGGACATTTGTTTCGGACTCACACGTTCTCGGCGTGAATCGGCCAAGAGCGAGCGGAACGAGAGTTGACTCGAACAGCTGGGCTCGCATTTGCCCGGCGGATTCTTCCCTTCGTTCAGGAGTCAGGCCACTGTCCACCATTTCGGAGCCACAGTCCTCGAGGTGCCGAAAGGACCCTAGATCTCGCGGACTAAAGACATAAACATAGAGTTTCATGCTCTCACCGTGCACCGGGTTGTGAAGTCTCTCGTTCGGGTCTCGCTATGCGCTATGCGAGTTGCTGTTTCGTTCTCCTTAGATATCCAATACGGCGAAGTGTCACTCGCAACGAGCGGGGCTTCCCACCACAAATTCAACTCACATATACGCGGAAACAGCACCAAATCAGTGAAGGGAAGAGATCGACTTCTGCTGCCAGAACGCCGCAGTGGGAACTGCTGACCGTTCTCGGGCGCTAGCGAACGCCCGACTTCAGTCGAACTGAAGACAAGCTACAGCGCGGCGTGAGACGTAGCGGCAGCAGCGCCAAGTACCATAACTGCTCGCACCGGCACCAGATGGCAGGATGGTAGCTCCTTCTTGGTCAAGTAAGCATCAGATACCATCACGTGCTTGACCAGAAGCCAGCAACACCCCCCTGAAAATTCACGTCCCGCTCGACCTATGGTCCGACACAGAATCAAGCCTCAGTCGACGTGCCTGTCCTCGAGACGTGCAGCCATCGCTCCTTCGGCTAGGAATTACGAGGACATGGTCGCGCATGTATGTATTGCAAGGAACTTCTTTGATTTTCGATAGGCGTTGCCGTTACGACAGGCACGAATGGCTCGATTGATGGAAACCTTGAGATCTCCGGATGGCATCTCCATCATTATTCTTTAGTTTTCATCCCCACGAACAAATCCTTTTTGTATTCTTCAGTAGCTCCTCGATGATGGTGCCCCGATGAGTGTTCGTAGGCGGATATTCTCCCAGACCTCCTTTTGCCCAAACACATCCCGTATATATTCCCGGTCGGAGCAAGTCGCGAAATCAAAGGTGTGAGAATGATTCGAATCGTCTTCCCTAGAGTGGGTCCAGCTCCACAGAAGCGATTCTTTCTTGTGTTCCCTCATGGAGCCCATCAACGACGACTGAATCAAAAATAAGCTCGAAAAGGTCTCGCCCGAGTTTACTCGCTCGGTCATTCGGACAATCGTCATACTTCCACCAAATATATCCCTCTAAGAGATCTGAGGAGTTTCTGCCGAAGAGGATATCAATTAGGGTCGGGAATCGGGCTCTTCTGGGGTCTGGGTCCTAATATTCAGATACGTTCATCTCAGATGAGCCTCCTATTTCCCTGTGAGCCTCAGAATATATCAATAGATGCCTCCATCTGGGTCCATCCCATAGAGAGATTCATTTTCTAATCCCCCGCGAGTAGTGAATCACCACTGCCCCGATGACCCACAGCGAAAGCACCCCGCAGGAATGTCACCTTTCGACTGAGATTCGGACATGGCTTATGCCATCAACAACATAACGCAGTTCTCTGTGCCAAGGTTCTATTCATGCCCGACGAGGAACTGTAGCGATTTTCGCTGTGAAGGATTTCCCTCCCAGGATGCTCTAGAATCTGGAGGTCCCTACTCTTGCTCAAACCACCCGTATCGTTCAAGAAGAGACGTCATCCAATCATGCATGATAAGATCTCATAAATACCTCGCTGCCGGTCCGGCGGCTTCACGACACTCCGGAAAATAAGGACAGAAATTCTTAAAACTCCTCGCCGCGAGGCCAAAGTCGCGGATTTTTGGTTTATTCGATGAGCTGTGAAATTGACACGCTATCCGACGGAATAATTTCTGGTGAAGCTCAGCTTTGTGCGCATCTTCTGAGCTAATAGTGTACCGCCTTACTTGAACGAGTGTGTGCCCACTCTGGTCACCGAATCGTCGTTCACATAGGAAAGGCCTCTGGAGCAGGGCCGAGTGCCCGGAAGCACGTCCATGTGTGTCGATGCGAAAACTCCGGCCGATAGTTGGAGCACAGCCCGGGAACCCCTCTTGACACAGAACACAGAGTGTTTGAGATGGGTCACTGGGCTCGTTCTTTTCCTTGACGTGGTGTCTGCGACTATCAGAATCCCTTGAAGAACTCGGCTTGCGATTTGTATCGGATGCCCCTTTCGCAAGAACCCAGGCGACTCGATGATAGATATCCGCTGCCTTTGCGGCGAGCTCTGTAAGTCAATTCTCATCATCCTCGCCGTCACCGACAGTCAGACGACTATTCGGATCTGTGAGTCGATCGGACTCACGGAGCGTTGCTTCGTCGAGATTGGATAATCGGTCGAAGTTATCGTCTTCATTGTCGTCGACATCATCATCGTCAGATTCGTGTGGTGCTTCTCGCAACGAATTCAGCATAGAATCATTATTGCCATAAGATCCATCTGTCATGGAGATCATATTATGTCCGGCACTGTTCACGTCCGTCATCCCCGTCGTCCATCGTATCGCTGAACGCTGCGCCATTTTCACTTTCGCTGTCATCTGCTTCTTCCATTTAGTTCTACAAAATAGTATAAATCCACGTGAGTTTCTCCCAGATGCGAGAATGCGTCGAAATTGTCGATTGGGCTCGTAATCACTTTATCACCTTCTATTCTGAAACCAGGTTTTGATTTGAACTTCGGTCAGATTCAGGGCCGCAGAGAGTTCCATTCGTTTGCTCACGCTCAAATATTTATCGATCTATGAGGGAGAATACATGACGTTAGCTGATACGCTCAAGATCAGATGCGCTTCGGTGTTTCGGTCGTTGAGAGAGAAGATACCTTGAACTCAGATTCCAGTCTCTCGAGCTGCTTGACGCTATAAGCTTGACGCGGTTTCCTGTCTACACCAGCCTTGCGCGTTCTCCGGCCCACCGCTGTTGCCCGAGTCACGCCGCCCATCAAGGGAGGATGACCGAGACCGCAGAGAGCTGAAATGTTTGCGATTATCGTTCCTGAACCTCGTCGACCCTCATATGGAGTCATCGACCGGCTTGCCTGGGAGGACAATGGCAGTACTCGCCTGTCAAAGCATAGAGGAAAGGCTCTGGTCGAGATTGGCTAAGTGTTGTCGTCGGGCAAATACCATGGTGCACTGCTGCTGCTGCTGCGTATGGGGAATACGTGAAGCTTCCCGTCGGTAATGGGCGGGCGTCTCGGGGAGCGCAGGACATCTGGTCGAATGATGAAATTGAACAGTTGTCAGTGGAGCTCGGCGGTGGGATTCTGTGATTCTAGGGATCACAGAATCCGCGGTATGCCTTCGAGGGGAGGTCTTCAAACTCACTGAGATGGATTCGTTCCGAAGGTCTAGTGCCATCGCCGGCGTACCGAGGATGGTGGCCCCGGCGTTGGCCTCGGCACAATGTGGGGACGCGAGAATGCTCTCTATGGTGAACTTGGTGGGAGCCTGCCGATATTGGGTATTCGTGGCGGAGTCACAAGTCGTGGACCACTCGGTCGTGTTCGCCAACCGGTGGCTAATCAGAGCTACAGGACGGATAATCCGGAGTTAGAACAAGCCATGGAGTTAGAACAAGCCACCATCCCGCGGCGTCAGAGAGAAATTCCGCTCCAACTCTTGACAACAACATGAGCTGGAATACAATACGCCCTTCGGAGGTATCTGATAGGCAAAGAGAGATAGGCAAAGGATCGGATTGGTTGCTTTGCAGTTTTAAAATTGAGGAAGCAATCTTTTTTGTAAGCGAGGCTGAGGGATGGCCGAGTCATCGGTCTGCGCTTATTAGACGTTCTACGGCCGTCTCAGCCTCTGTCTCACGCGGCGAGTCGCTCCGTGGGGAGCGGGAGCGTCCTCCATCGGGCGAATGTCGAGGTGGATACCTAGGACCCAGGCTTGGAGAGAGGCAGAAGGAAAGAGCTCCAACAAAAAGCTCCGCAGAAAAGGTCCCCAGGACTTGTTGCATTCAAAGGGGTCCGATGGTCGCAGGGGAAGCTCCCGAATCTTGACAGTATAAATCGAATCGCATGTCGCTGACTGATTTCTACGTCAATTGTATGTTTTCTGTCGCTGGCCTCTTGTCCAACGGTGTATCAGAGAAAGGATTCCCCAGTCCTCGCTCGTCTTATCAGGTGTGTCATTTGAGAGAGAAGGGTCAATTCAAGAGGAATATCCGAGGAAAGAGACAGAAATACCTCACGGGCGCATAGAGAAGTCGAACGAAAGAAGGTCCGTAGCCCCTACAAGGAGCGTTTGTCTCATCCGATGAGATAGACCCGGGGGATATTATATGGTCATCCTTGAGCCTGGAAATCAGTCTATTCATCTGGGCTTATCGCCCAAGCCTATCCGTGAGCAGTTCCTCAGACATCTTGCTGACTACAGCGCTCGAGGAAAACAGGGGGTACGTGGGAGATGGGCCCCCGAGATGATGTACGACAGCGGTTGAGCGAGGGATCTGTCTACTGACGAGAATCTTTCTGAGTCGGACAGCGATCAAAGCATGAAGGAGCCAATTGGACCTTTGGAGGATTCCCCGAGAACCCCTGGGGGATCTGACAGCGTCAACCGTCCGTGTGGACCTGAGCAAAAATTGTCCCCGACTAACGGAGATAAATTCCCTTGAGTGGAGCCGAGGGTTTCGTGAGGAATGGAAGGGCTCTTGGAGCGTATGCTCGGTCATTCCCGAAGGGAAAGATCCACCCGGAAAATCAGACCCGAGCCCGCTCTCGACGCGGAAAAGGCCTTGCGTGTTTTCGGATGGGCTGCCTCTGTCTGAACTTCTGCCGTACAGCTGCTCCGACAAACATTCTCCCCCTCTCGAAGAGAATCCCCGGGCAGCAAGTGATTCGTCCGGGCACGGTTACTCTGGGAGTCTTGGTCGCATCATGCTGACCGTCATTCTGAGGCGATATTTTGGAGGCGAGAACGGATCGGAGCACCCACCTTGCTGGTTGTTGGAGGAAATCCTCTCGACGCAAAAGAGCATTTTCTGAGGGTCTGACTCCATCACTCGTGCAGTTTGTCCGGCATGATCCGCTCAGAGTGCAATATCACTCATACTCGCACCTCCTTATCCGTCGTCGGTTGTGCCGAGGCGGCCGATGGGAGCAGCAAGACACACAAACCTGCTCCTCTTCTAACCTGAATCACATTTCGTCCTGACACGAAGACAGGCTCCACCCGCGCCCGCCCAATGATGGAGGCGTGGCGAGCGTGCGCAAACTCGCTCCTCTCGTTCGGTCATCAAGCACTACTACATACGCTTTCGATGACAGGGAGGAACATTTAAGGTGGACCATCGTAGCGGGACGGGGAGCGGTCCATTGAGGGGCATTTGATCTAGTTCCGACCCGCCGGAAAGATTCCTCGCGTTTTTGGATTCTCGGAAGTCGCACTCTTGACGGAGAACCCCTACCCGGAAGTCTTCGGCGCAGCATCTCCAGTTCGCGATCGCCTTCGGTCACCTGGAGCTTCGGATTCCTTTGCTTCAACTCCTTGTAGCCCATCTTCGAATCGCAATTCGCAGATCGAAGATTGGCTACCAGGAGTCCCTTCGCGGCCTATCTAAATGCTCAGTTTGGACTAGAGATCAAAGTTTCGGGAAATATCTCATCGAGGATGGGCATTGCGTTAGATTAGGGGCAAGCTTATCACGGAGAGATATAAGTCTTGGATTCCCCAGCTTCCACGGCATCTAGGAGCATGAGGAGGTCTTGTCTAGAGGGTTCTCGGGGCGCGAAAACGGCTCTGGCAGAATATCTGTTGAGATTCCAGAGAACGGGGAAGACGCGAGGGTGGGCTCGGAAAAAACATGATAAGTCTTTTTTTGAATTTGGGCGAGGTCATTCACTCCCCGGCTCATCCCTCGGAACGTCAGGTTCGGCGCTGAGACCCTGAGAGCCTCCTCCCTTCGAATCGAGATTCGCTTACAGGGACCTTGACCATGCAGCGTCTCGAGCTCTCGATCGTATCGTCCGGCTTGATGGAGGTTCGAAATGGCCTTATTGGTTCTCAGGACTGTTCTTCGGGACGGCTGCTCTAGACTGCTCCTTGACCGAGGCCTCCCTGTTGACCTCTCCTGTCGGAGATTCCTGTCGGAGATTCCTGTCGGAGATTCCTTTCGGAGATCCCTGTCGGAGCTTCTTTCTGGTAATTCTTGCCAGAGGTACCGGCCGGAGATACCGGCTGGATACCAGTGATTTCTGCTGTCCATTAGTGCAGGACATATCCCCAGGGAGTTTCTTCTCGTGACGATCGCAGAGGAAGGCTCGCACGTTCCGTTTTCAACGCTGAACCCAATTTTCCAGCGGACCGATCCAAGCTGTAGTGCAGGAGGCGAGGCGCTTCACCGCGTATTCTATGCTGTTGTCGCGGTAATTGTTCACCCAACTCGGCTCCGGCTCGAGATGTCTGAGACTATTATATGCCGGCGTATCTTCCTGAACTATCATGATACGCCTTTCCTGCATACCCTGGTGGCTCGGATGTTGCGTCAGGCGTCACTATTATCATTGATAGACTGAGATCTTCAGCAGAGGAGCGAAGAGTTGAGCTGAGGAAAGTCCGTTGGGAAACATTCTTCCTCAATAGAGACGAGCACTTCTGCCGCTAGTGATCCGCTCTTGCTGCTCCGTCCTTGTGTCGTGATCACATTTTTCCCCATCCAGGGCAGTGAAGCTTTTCCAAGACGCCGCCCTCCATGTCTAAATGACTGCTCTGCTTCTTTGCTTCTCGCTCCGGATCTGATCCCTAAGGACGGTAGTTGCGGACTTCGATTGCGCTGCATACCCTTTTCTTTCCTTGAAGATTGTCCCTTCGCCGCGGAAACTGGCAATGTGACCGATGGCATTTCGTTGAGGACTAAGCCTTCACCCCCATCTTTCGCAATGGCAATGCTCCCTGCCAGGTACCTTGCTCATGTAATCGATGCGTTTCTCTTACAACGAAGGGATTCGGGAGGATCGCAATAAATTCATGACGGCGATTTCCCCTTCCAGGGAACTTCTCCCACGACGCGCCATGATCTCATCGCTGCCAGATGGGGGGTGACCCATCAGGATCATCGAAGATTTCTCGCGGACCTCGATATCCATGGAGGAGATCTATCGAACCCCATTGAGAAGCGCTTTTGTATTCATCTGTTCCGAGGCTGATCTCCTTATCTCCACCTCGTAGCTGAACGTTAGAAAGCGCTGATGCCTCTCACTAAAAAATGAGATCCAAACGCCCTCTAATGAGTGGCCGATTCGTTTCATCAAATATCCGTTACTTTATTCCATTCCGAGCTTGAAAAACAACGGGAGGTTTCTCTAACATTCCAATGACCACCCTCAGTCAACAAAGTTTGAAAATTGCTCCATTAGACGAATCGATACGTTTTGCCCCCAACCTGGTGGAGGGTTCTCGGGCAATTATGAAATGTTTTCGGGTATCGTTGAGCAATTCTTCGAGTACGAGTTGCGGCCGTCTGATTATAATCTCGTCGTCGACGGCGGCGGCTAGAGCCCCTCTCTGATGTTTCTCTCATCGGTCACGCTTGAGGAGTGAAGGGGGGGGGAGCACCTCTGCCATCCTCCTGTCTGGAACTGAGGTGCGACTAGAAGGAGGCCCTTGTCAATAGGTTATAATATACAAATGAAACTCTTCGAAGCGGTGGACTATCGCGGCGCGAGGAATACTTCTCAGGGATGAACGAACGCAGCTTGAATTCGTTATAGTGCCCAATACATTGCGGCGGTCGTCGTCGACGACGAGCTCACTCGAGACTACGATCACGATGATGAATCTTGTGCAACTGTGCGCCTGCTTCAGGAATTGGAAAATGGCCTCAAGTGCTGCCAGCGATGATGATTCGAGACCGCTCGACGCCGGCAACCATTGACGCTCGTTCTTCATCCGGCTGCACATTATCACGCCATTAGTAGCCAGAGAAGGAAGATGCAGGCTAGCCACAAGAATAGTTTCGATACTAATTGATCTTGCATTTGATGGTCCGCAGGTCCGGCGGCGTCTCGATGCTGGTGTTCCATTGGGTTCCCGGCCCCGCCGGCCAGGTTAAAGGAGGACGCGAAGAAGCCGAATGGGAACGCTCCTACAGAGAAATTTCACACGTCACTTCGGCACCGCTTCTGCTCCATCTCAATGTTGAGATTGCAGATATAGTGATTGACTTTCAAGCGAGCCGAACAAGTGAAGCAAAATTCTCCTGATTGATGATTCATTCACCATGACTTACCGATGCCGAAGGACAGAAAGTGGGGGTTATCTCCGAAAACGTAGCGATGCCCGCCACCAGGCCCGGCGTAATCGGCTTCTGGTTCGGTCCGATGTCCTTGAGGTCGCGGCGGTAGCTTTTCTCTCGGGTCAGTCTTTGAGCCCCCGCGGCCGTAGAGAGGAATGACTTTGTCTCGGCTTATGCCTGCTTTGCAGACTGGACAGACCTGGGGAGGAGAAAAATCACTGTTTATTCTGTCGTCTTCTGAAGAAAATTCCACCGGGGCGAGGAGGAGAAACACAAACAGCGAAGTTCAAGGAGAGTGTTCACGTGATATGCGTGCTACGATTTCTCACGAGCGGTGATTTCTCTTTTTCTGAATAAAGCTACAAAGCTGAGGGATTTTCTTTAACTTCTGTACGGTAGCCCACATAGCAGCTGCAACCCTAATGCGTGCGCCGCTGGATTCGAGGCGTATTCGGGGCCTCTCGCGAGGGAAAGATCGAGAAATCAGAAAATTATTCAGCTATATTGAGTCTCCACGGGAGAAGCAGATGTTCGCACGACAAATCCGCTCGGTAGCTCCACTGGAGTGAGGAAGCTGATCAAGGTCGGTTCCTCCGATTGGAAAAACTTTCCCCGGAGCGAACGTCCGATGATCACGTCCGCCGGAATGTCAGAATCCTTTCGGAGATCGACTAGCCAACTGAAGTTGTCATGGAGAGTACCGATCACTGTTCGTAGAGAAGTCTGAAACTCGCAGTCATTCGGAAATTCCGAAAGTCTATCGACAGCTGGAAAGTTTCGGATTAAGCTGCGATGAAGTGGCTTACCTGGCCTTGCGGACGAGTTTCGAGCCATTGGTAAAGACATGGCCAGCAGAACAAGTGACCACACATGCTAATTACGGCGTTCTTCGCCGTATCGAGGCAGATATTGCACTCGAATGTTGCCGTGTCTTCCGATTTGTCGTCGGTCTCTGGCATGTTTCCTTTCGAATAATCTCCCGTGGTATTTCTGTGTCAGTAGTCCCGTAGCTGGCCTTGTCACTTCCTATTCCATACAGGCTATTGAAGCACTCAGCTCACAGCGCTTCATATGTGATGTGGCTTCGAATGCTTCTCGTCGTTCGATCACATTGACGAAGATATCTCAGACGTTGCACGAGTACCGTCGTTTCCCCGAGCGGAGCTCCGGTAAGCAATAACAACGATCGGAAGTCACAAGAACTGGTCGCTGTTGTTGTCACTGTCGTTGTTGTTGTCGCCGGGGAAATTTTACCTCATCGACCGTTGAGCTTTCCCTTTACCATTGAACGCAGTCGCAGCCTGGGCTGCGGCAAGCGCTTGCGAAACTTCGAGATTGCTTCGGAGAGTACTGGATGGCAAGCTCGGTTTGTCGACTGAGAGGGTCTCGCGAGGAATCGCGCATGAGTGCGCGATACACCAGAGACGCTCAGAGTCGAAGGCTGCAGGGACTTCAGCTCAGCGGCAGCGACAGCCCCTCTGGCGACTGTCTGCTGTGTCTGAGCGCGGTCCCCCGTTCAAACACAGATTTCTCGGCTGGTACGAACGAATCGGGTATACGGCTTTTCCATGCAGCTGGTTGGAATACGTATGCGCATCGCGTTCATCCGACCTGGAGTGCTCACGGCTCACTGGTAAGAAGGAATCGTCCATAGGCAAGCGAACGGAGGCAATGATGACTATGATTTTTGCTCTAGGCTTCGTGGGAAGTCGGGCGGCTCCTGGAGATATTTCGAAGTCTGGTTTTCCGCTCACAGAAGTTCGCGCAGCTGTCAGCTATCGGATTCCCGAACATTCTCGCGGCGTGTGTTAGTGGTGACAGGATGCGCGACCTGCGAACGGTGTCCAGTGCTGAGTCATCCGGAGCTCTTCGAGAAAAGGGGCAGGAAGTCTGAAATCGAACGAGTAAGCTCGTGTCTCCTTACCTCTGTGTGGAATGCAGTGAATTCCCTCTTACAAACACCTCGCGCATTCCGCTGAAGACCGATGCAGCTTCAGAGCCGAATTTGATAGGAAGAACCAGGTCAAGCGAGTTAATCGAATGCGGGTCCGGAAACGTTGACGTCATGCGCAAAAAACAGGAGCCCGGGGAACGAAGGGAGCCCGGAGAAATGTCCAGAACGGCGATGACCTAGGGACTTCGGGGCAGGGTTGAGCCTCGGACGACTCCTGAAGACTCGGGGAAGGGGACTGAAAGTTGGTCATCGACGCGCACTCCGAACCAGTGGTTCGATGGGACACCTGGGCACCAGTCATTGGTCTGGCCATGGATGCCGATCCCACTGAGAGACAGGACGGTAGCTAGAGGTTACACTCTCGGAAGTTTTGATGCGCACCGCCGCGACAATGCTGCACCGAAATGGTGAAGGACACCGTCCTCACATGAACGTTGGGGTATCATTGTGAGGGCTTCGCATGCGGGATATCGGAAGGTTTCCAGGAAGATGGGCGGGATGAGGTCTAGCTCATTGGGAAACTTGGGCCGTAGGGTAGCGAGTCGTTCTAGAACGAGTTCTTCTGCGAAAAGAATACTGCTGTCGGGATGCCGCAAGGCAGGCTGAGGACGAGGAGCTGGCGTGATGGGTGTCCTGGAGGCCCACTGTTGTTGGAGGTGTTCGGGAACTGTTTCGCGAGAGGGTCAGCTTTCGTTTCGCGATGTGGTGGAGGTTACGCCCAGTGTGTTCAGTGTGGGGACACCTTCGAACCCCGTGAGCCAAGAGTTGAAAAAGTTTTAAGGAGAACGAGGCTCATCGAGATCGACACCGAGTTCCGAGCGTGAGCGGCTTCTGAGAGCGTCTTTCTTCGACCGCCAAGCCACGTCCTCCGGATCAGAGCAGCCTTAGATTAGAACAATGGCGTACCGTGCCTCTATGATGCCTGGAACGGATGTTTTCGATTCCCAGGCCTTAACCTCTATCCTCTATCTGATGCCCCCTCGAATTTGTCTCCGATATTTCTTCCGTATCTTTCGTTTTTCACTGTTCGTTCCGAGAATTCTTTCGATGAATACATTAAGACGAGTATGTTGTCGAGTCGTACTATGGAACGATCAAGTCCATCGTAATGAGAGTCAGTCTTGGGAAATATTATTATCGACGCTGCGACAAAGAGCAAACAGATGTTGCCCGCTGACAAATTCGAGATGAGCAGCGACGATTGCCTGATTCAAATTTCTGGAGTCGAGTTCAGAGGCTTCCGGAGAAACAGTCAGCGCCGAGAATGTGGAACCGAAAACGACCCTCTGATGTCCGGATGGCATGGGGGATCCGGTGGCAGCAATCCCCGGCACCGCTTTCAGTAGGACCGTTTCACAAATCGAGGCGGCTGTCGGATTCGTGAGTCTACGCTGCCCGCTTGCCTGAGTTTATATTCTCTTGGGAGCGGTGCGTGCAAGGATGCTCTTCCCCAAGACCTCTCCGAAGAAAAAATCTCGCGACCACGAGCACACTATTTCCGCTACAGCAGACATTGATTTAGTTTGATTTCCTGCGCGGTTAGAGTTCTCTTCTCGAGAAACTCTATCTGCTACAAGTCAGCGAAATTCAAAACGCCTCTCGAGAGGCCTTTGAAGGCGGGTATAAATTAGAAGTAGGTCCCCTAAGAGTGCAGATAGCCGAGCAGACTGAGCGCTCTGCCTCTCACTTTGGCATGTATAATAATACATCAAGAAGGAGTATATGAAGGTCGTCTCCAACTTTGAGAGAAATAGCGAGCCTCAGTTTTTCTTGGCTGTAGACTACGATTTCGACAGAACTCACATCCATAGATCAATGGATAACATTCCTTTTATTAGGGAGATTCAATGATACATATATATTACAATTTCGATGGGAGAATCAGCCGCCCAAGAGCGCGAGCTCTCTGAGGGCGCAACGTGGAGGCATTCCTCCTGTGATCATCCTCGCGTTCCCGCGTTGAACTTCGATTGCGATGCGTTGGCGTATGAACGCCGCTGCTTGTTTGTCTCCTCCTCTTGCGACGATACGCCTGCCTAGCTCCTTGACTAGTTTTAGAGCTCCTTCGCCTCAAACAGCAGCTGTATCGATCAATGGATTGTCTCATATATATATTCCTGATTTACAAATCCTTCAGTAGAAATCAGATGTCCGGGAATCAAACTCCCTCGATACGGAACACGCTCCTCCTCATAAGGGAGTACGGGGTATTATTGAAGGAAGAGTTGCGTAACAACACGGATGAACATCTCACCTTATTTAACACGGCACGCCGCATCTCATCGGTGTCATGCTCGGCCACGAGTCTTATGAGGAAAGGCCAGGTGAAAGGCTCTGTAGGAAGTAGGATTTCGGCATTCGGAACAGAGATAAGTCTCATCACTTTGGAGCGATAGTTCCTTGAGGCAGTTCGGCTTTAAGAATGCTCAGTACGCGATTGGATTTCGAATGATGCTCGCGATTCACACACGGTTCCAGGACATTATGAGAGGTTCTGCAGGGCTCTCTGCTTGCAATTTACCTGATAATATTTCGGTCGCTTCCCCATAGACGCAGACGGTAGGGGAGACCTGGTGGTCGAGTAGGTTTGTCACAACGAACACTCAATTGAAAGACCCGTTCAGGCTCGTTCGTGACATGACAAACGTGCCTTGACAAGGTTGTCTTGAACAAAGGTACTCTTGGAATCTGATGAAATCGGTGGATTTTGTCTCATGAAGAGGAAGAAGTTAATGATGAACGTCTTATTGCCGAAGCCCGAGGCAGCGATGAGATAGCTGAGACGTTCTAAGATCTGCGAATTCCTCGTGAGTATCGCGTCCATCAAACATTGTTGCCGTCTTGTGACTTGTTACTGACGGGGGGGAGATTCGATTTCGACCTATCAACTTCTGAAATTGCACCTTGGCGTAACGAGCATTTCGACATCATCAACGGGCCGCGCATAATTTTTTCTTGAAGGTTGGAGGAGGCCCCGGCACGACTTATCCCGGGACCTTAAGCTGCTTCGATTACGAGAGTAATGAATGAGCCTCTCCAATTTGTGAATCACGTTTCTCGTACCCTACATCGTCCCCGTCCAATCAACTCCACCAATTTTCTACAGCGACATCATCTGACAGGTTCTGAATCGGATTTAAGTCCGAGGCTGAGTTTGCCTTTCGAGAAGACGGACTTGCTGATCCTCAAAGAAGTTTTTCACTGTACGACACGACGACACGCGTTCTCGGGCTCTGGTCGGGGGATCCAACCTGCCTGTTAACCACTTGGTCTCATCAGTTCGCTCCGAGTCTGTAACAAACTACGGCCTTGGTTAGACTCATCAGAGCCTTCTGGTGGAAGTCCGCAGCCATTATACTCGTCGAATCGAACGTCGGACAGTTGCAGACGTAGCCTCCGATAGCCCAAGTAGTTCGTTGATATTTTACAGCATTCCACGATCCAAGAGCTTCCCGGAGCGTAATGTTTTTTCGAAGCTTTTCTTTATCGAAGTTATGAACAGGGGCACCCTGACGGCGAAAGCGGGATAGATTCTCTCCGGGATGAAGTATAGAAGTTACTGCAGTATCTCTAGCCATCCCTGCCATCGCTGTTGAGAGTAGGAAATCGCCTGGTCTACTGTTATATGTGCCGACCGCGGTCAGTCCTGAAGGCTAGGTTCTGAGGACATCCCACTTACCCCTCAACACCTGGTCATGCGTTCTTCGGACTCCTTGCTGCACTCCGGCTTCTCGGAGCGAGTACCGCATTGGCGTTCGTAGGCATCAAACCGCTGAGGCTCTCATTTGAATCTTTGAAACTTCGATAACGTCGGACGTCCATAGACTTCGGCGTGAGTTCTTTGCGGCGCCGCATTCACCTCCTTCTTCAAGATTCCTTCCTGTTCGTGGCAATGATGCGGCTTATCGGTCAATGCTTATCCGGAGTCTCTTGATTGATCTAGTCTCCCAATCTCTTCCTCTAGTATGAACATGAGCCGACTGTCCTAGATTCTCATCATTGAACACCACGACGCCGCTCGTCATTGAGTCGAAGTGGACGTGTTCTTCTGCACCAAACTCTCAGACGTGCTCCGGGACACCTTCTTGGACCAGACAAAGCAACTTTCCTTCTGGAGCCTGATCCGGTCACTGCCTCGACCTTGCCGCTCGACCCTTGAGGGGCTCCGACCCCGTCCGCGCGTGGCTCTCTCTCCTTTATCACGGATAAAATGAGTTCCTCGGTATCACATCGCTGTAAACTTCGGGTCTCGCACCCACTGGTTCGAGGACGATCCTTGCTCGCTTGACATTCTCCCTAGGATCCTTGGCTATCAGAGCTAGGCGAACGAATGTCATCCGGGATTCTCCTGGAAGTATCGATCATCGCGGCGCGAGCGGCTTCTGGAAGATGTAAGGCGGGGCGTCTAGAGCAATCCAGGATGTCGAAGAGCATCGGGATCGCGACATTTCCCTTGGGTACTGAGATAGGCAGAATAAGACCATCTGTGATCCCTCTCCTGAGAGCAGTGAGGATCGCGGTATTCTCGTCTGCTGTTCGCTGAGTTCGCCCCGGTGGTATCCGGCTGTGGATACTCGAACTGACTTATCGACTGGCTCCTTTGGGAGAGGATAGCTCTTTAGCTTTCTCCCAATCCCAGTCTTTAATAGCGCATGACATCGCCTGCAGACCTCTCTCGAGGAAAACCACCGCGAAAGGATAATAACCCAGAACAACTCCAGGAAGAGAACCCGCAAATGATAGCCGAGCCTCATCTCTGACAGCGCAAATCTCTGGTTTATTCCTCCGAATCCGTTGCTTCGCGGTCGCGAGAGGCATAGGGCGAATTTCAGTGTTGTTCCGTTCCGAAAGCGACGCCCTCGAAGACTTTGAGGCTAGATTCGTCGTCAGATGTGTGGACAGTCCTAGGGATCCTATGGTAGATTCTCGTCAATTCGGCGAGTTTTCCGAGTTCCTCCCCCGTACGTGGCTCTAGGACCAGGGCCTTCCGAGATCGTCGGTGCCTTATCTCTTATCAACGTGAAATCGTCGTTGCCTTATCACCGTTGAATCGTCAATCGCTATGGAGAGGCGGTCTCTTGATGGTTCGACCGCCACTGAAACAGCTAGCCGCAGTATATTACTTTATTGTTGAGAAATCTACGAGCGTCACTCATTATTGAAGTGTCTTGTACATCTCCGAGAGTTGTCGAGCGAATGCCTTGCGGCACTCCGGCCGCTTGGTTTTCAGCGTAGGCGTGAGTAGGCCGTTTTCCACACTGAACAATTCATCATGGCATTCGATGTCTTTCAACTGGAATCAAAATCGGTTTCGCGGATGAAGATCGAGATCGCGAAGATTTGCATCGTGTTATGGTCGGCATGAGCGACAAACTCACCAGCTCGAAGCTCTTCAGGCCAGATTTTTTGCCTAGAGAAGCGAGTTCATCGAGTATGGATTTCTTGACGACCCGATTCTGGCAGAGCTCACTGAAGGTTCCAGAGATTCGGTTTTCGGCAGCCCACGACAACAAGTATTGTTCCTCGGGAATAAGGATTCCGACGAGACATGACTGAAATCGAGAAAGGAGGTTTCTCATCGCATTCTGAATTCGATCGGCTCATTCGAGCATTCCGGTTCCAGAAAAATCCTTCTGTACCTTGAGACTTTCCCCATGAACGAAAATTTGCGCAACGAAAGGCGACCGAATGAAGATGTTCTCGAGTTTTTCGGGAGCGATGTACTCGCCCTGCGAGAGCTTGAAGATATGCTTCTTCCTATCGATGATCTTAAGAGTGCCGTTCTCCATCCATTTTCCGATATCCCCGGTATGGAGCCAGCCGTTTTGGTCGAGGACTTCCTCTGTCATTTTTTGATCATTCAGATAGCCGTGGAACACGGTGGTGCCTTTGACGCATATCTCGCCCTCGCCATTGCAGGCGTAGTATTCCATTTCGGCGACATCAACGAGTTTGATGGCACACGCAGCTATCGGCGGGCCAACGTGGCCTGCTTCATAGTCGCCAGGGAATGTGAGGGTGCACGGAGCTGTGCATTCTGTCTGACCATAGCCCTCGACAATGACGGCGCCGAGAGCACAGCGGACGAGGTCGATGACGTTCGTTGCGAGTGGGGCCGATCCGACGACCATGAGACGCAATCGACCACCGAAACTTTCTTGGACCGTCTGATTCGAGAGAGAATTGGCGTGTCGTTAGTTTCACCTATCGGCCTATCAATGTCTTCAATCGAACGTCAGTGGTGAAAGAATCGTCAAGAGCTGAGTTTCCGCGACCGATACCTTGAAAACAAGTCGATCCCAGATGGAGTTCTTCCGAATGACGAATTTCCTCATTTCCGACTCCTTGCTCTTGAGAGCCAGCGCGAGTATAGCTCGTTTCCAAATGCTACTCTTGGCGACCAGTTCGACTTGATCGTGAACTCGATTCAACAAGCGAGGGACCGTCGGTGAAATGGTCGGTTTCAAAGCTCGCATATCATCCGCTAGTCCACGGATGTCGCCGCTGAAGAATCCGACGCAGCCTCCCCCCATGTAGAGCGCCATTTCACAGCAGCGTTCCAACATGTGTGCCAGCGGCAGGAATGAAATCATGACATCGGTCTTGTTCGGCGCGAATTCCCCCTGGAATGCGAAGCTCAGCTGAGATACATCTGACCGATGCGTTGCGGTTGCGGGAGCGATGTCGGTAGGGAGCCGTACTCACCAATTGAAGACAGACGGAAGACAGGCACGCCACGATATTCTTATGGGAGAGCATCACGCCTTTTGGATTCCCCGTCGTGCCGGAAGTGTAGCAGACGGTCGCTAGCTCATTCCGAGTCGGAGGCAGCGGATGTCGGAAGTTCTTCTCACCTAGCTTCTCGACCTCAGTGAAAGCGATCAGTTCCACTCCCAGAGCCTAAAATCGAGCATCCCATTATCGATTGAGAGCATCGAGCTGATTTAACCCAGCTGCGTCTTCCGCGGTGACAATAGACGACGGAGAGACTCGAAGGAGCTTATAGCTCGAAACGGAACTCACCTTGGCCTGCTTTCGTATATCGTCATCGGGAATCTCTTTCGTGTGAACGATGCGTCGAAGTCGAGGACAATTCACCTTCTCTTTGAGGAGCACCCCGATCTTGGGCGGGATAGATTAGGTGAGTGATTGTCCAGGTCCGAAGGGGGCATTAGATGATGCGGCACCAATTAATTATTCCACACTGGAGTTTTTTACTGTCCCCATGTCGTGGACTCACCTTTTCGGGTGTATCGCAGACAACTACTTCAATGGATGCTTGATTAATGATGAAGCATAGAGCTTCTCTACCGAGTGTGTCGTATAGCGAAACGATAATCTGCACGGAAGCATTCAGCTTTAGTTCTCGTTCTTGATCCGAGCAATAAAAAACCTGCGGATAGCGCTGTCCTAACCTGTGAGAAATAATAACAAGCTTGCTCAGCGACGATTGCTTCAACGCAGTTCTGCATGAAAACACCGATGAAAGTTTTCTGGCCTGGCGCCGCGCCCAGAGCCGCTTGGCCGCAGGCGAAATTCCGGATTCTTCCCAGTGCCTGTAATGTCGACGTGCGCATTGGTTTTGTATTTTCGACGATGGCATCGCGATCGGACGATGCCGTAAGAGATAACGAGTCGCAGGCGCGAGATCGCACCTGGTTGTAGTGAATGTACGAATATTCTTTAGCTCCCGGCTCCCGCCAAGCCATGCATCGGCCGTTATTGCTGACGCGAGCTCCTCGGTACATGGCATCGAAGAGTGTCTGGGCATCTTCGTAAAGGTATTCCATGAACTTTCCGGGCGGGAGCAAACGCGAAGTTCGCACTTTCTCGCCGATCCCAACCATCTCGCTGGAATGCAGGGACGCCGAAGGATGAGATTCATTCTCGCGCATCGTACGATGCCTGTGGCAACAGCTCAAAGAACCATCTAGCTCAGGTATCGCGATAGCGATGACCCACGAATATTGAAATTTGCATGAGAGCCTGCTAATTAGTGTATGCCATCGGGTCACTGTGAGCTCGGCTCGCGGCTGCACGCATGAGAGCGTTTGCATCCGTGGCCGGGATCTAGGTGGCTCACCGTGATTGGTTGTCCTGGGAAATCGGCGGAATCACAGGATTCGCGCCGGAGCATACGTAGCTCATAACTAATCCAGCCACACCGGAGGCCGCCATCGCCCCGTAGTAGCCGCCGAGGTAAGTCGACCATCCCCCTGCGCTTACGTCTTGAGGACATTGGTTCCCTGCGAGAATGCCGACGTTACGTAACTGCGCTTCTGATCGGCGCAGGAAGCACCTCAGCCGATATCGATCGCTCCGTCGGGATATCAGGCATGCCTCCGATTCGTATCGACCGGCTCCTCACGCGTCGAATAGCTCTAACCTTGACTTTCGTCACAGAATTCCGTTGGTGCCTGGGACGGGAGCATGTTGTACACGACACCAGTAAGCAATACGGTAAGAAGTCGCTTGACAACGGGTAAACCGACGTCCAGTCAGCACACTACCGGGCTCGAAGACTCGCGATACGTCTCGGGATCAGCTCCCGAGCTCCAAACACGGCGAAATGCGTCGAAAGCGCGTTCTTCTGTCGTCCTCACTGACGAGCCGTGCGTCGAGCTTGAGTGTTTGTGTCTCGGAGAAGAGACCGTGTTCCGCTGCTAGCTGATGTGTGGGACGCGCGCTCATCTGTCCTCCAGAAGCAAAGCGAACGAGCTCCCCAGGTGGAGAGGGGAGACGGCGCGCGAAGCTCGAGCGGGTAAGACCGAAAGCCCCATTAGGCCTTCCCGTGCTGGTTGGTATCGGCCAGCCATGCCGTCGAGTCGAGACAGCGGCTCCCCGATCACCTGCGATGGGGAGGGGGACATTGAGAGCGCGTAGGGGAGCGGATTCCGCGCAGAGAAAGAAAACAAGGGGACGTTCGAGCGTTTGATCCATCTCGCTGAAGTTATCTGTTTAGCGGCAAAGCATACGTAAGCCACGGACTTTCGATTTATTTGCGAATGAGCTAATCAGTGGACATCGCTTTTTGTTCTTGGTGAAGAAGATGATCATCATAGTCCTCTGAGTCGGCGGCCGATATATTTTACGCTTTTCTCAGCGCGGCTGTCCGCAGAGCAGCGCCGATTTCACATCAGTCCGACCGCGAAACTCTCATCCTTGGCAATTCGGTCTTCGTCGATAGATGGTCACCGACTTGCCTCTCTCGACAAAAATGGCCGAATATGGGCAAAACTAGGCACTGAGGCCCACAAACCAAGCTTTACTTATCAGAGCTCAAGCGGCATGAAAGTCTGACGTCTGTTGTCGTTTGCTGAGGACCGTCTTCTCCTTCCACACATTTAGTCCCGAAGCTGCAACAAATCTGAAGTATTCGATCAAGGCGCGCGCGGCGTTACCATTCTCGGCGCCTACAGGCCTTCCCTCCTTGGTTTGAAGAAATCCTCAGCGCTGAGGTGGACAGCCTCCCCGCAGCAGTGTCAAAAGTTTGTTGACGGACATAGAAACATACCCTGACCGCCCGCCGCGGAGAATGAAACTGGCGAATGAAACAAATCAGATGGCGTTGATCTGATGGATAAAGGCGCCCAGCCGGACTTGCGGCGAGCAGACCGAATGGGTGCACACGCATAGGCTACACGAATCCTGCAGGTGATCGTCTTCCCCGGAGCAGCCGGCGGGACTATCTCGGAAACGAAGAAAATAGGGAGTCGGAGCCGATGTGCAGGTTTGGTCTGTAAATGGACGCTGCGCGTAGTGCGACGTCCTAGTCAGCGCGATCCCGAGGGATTCGCGGGAGCTCCGTGGTTCACGGGCAATGTTTGATTTCGGCAATGTATTCGAATCCATCTCTGACGAGCAGAACTCTGAGAAATTCCGAGGCTATTCAAATCTGTAGGGCTTCTTTGCCAACATCGGAACTAATCTGAGCGCATCCTTCGCTCTTCCCTCGAGTATTCTCTCCCTGCCCAGTCTACGATTTCCATACCTCCATTGATACTTCGAGAAAATATATATCCATTCCTACGGGTGTTCTTCCGCCCCAAGGCTACCTGGAGCCTGGAGTCAGTGTCTTCCCTCCATCCCCTCCGAAGTCTTACGCAACGTCGTGCCATCGACTCGCATTCCTGACGGCTTCATTTCGACGCCTCCCCGGCCCACTCACCCTCCAGTCGACCTCGAAGCTGCTCTTGTAACACCTATAAATGGAGGCAGGAATGAGAAGGATGCTCGCGAGAAGTATCGATCGATATGGCTCCAGCCTTCCGCCGCTGGAGTCTGTGATGGAGCCTACCTTCTCCGCTTTTCTGTCTCCGTTCGCCAGCAGTCTGACGACTCTGAAGGAGTCGTCAATAAGATTCGTCGATGGACATGCAGATGGATTCGAACGTAACGCGCGCTCCTTTCCCGCGACCCCGACTCCAGAGCTTTCTGATTTGTACTCCCCCAGATATTATTTAGCTCAGATACCGAATCTGAGGGAACCCCAAGGAGCCGAAATGATGGCGAGAGACCCGATGGCATGACGCTTGTACCCTTTGAAAGAGGAAAAG